TCTGAATTCTAGATGCTTCCATTTTCTGAGCGTGTCGGTGTCATATTCTTTGCTCTGACTACATCCCTGAAGTATGGCCTGTGACATTGTTTGTACTTGGTCATATTTGCCCAATGACAGGTATATTTTGAGCAATATTGACATAGTTTCAAATGTATTGATGTGGTCCAGTCCCACTTGTTTGAGATTTTTTTGGCTTTGAAGGGTTTGCTCACCAAGCTCGAGTGTCTGCTTGAGCTTTCCAGCCCCTAATCGATACAGGGCTAGTCGGCTTGCACTACAGAGATAATCCCTCATCGCATCATCTCCATGAGATCCTTCAAATCGCCTCTTTACTTCTTCTTCATATTCCTCGGCTTTCCTATAATCGCCGACTTCATAGCAGAGCAAGGCTGCCCTGCTTAGTGACGAGGCGATACTGTTTTGGCATTCTCTGAGCGACCATTCATGTTGTTGGTTTAGGTCTCCAGTATTTGTAGTTAAGCCACTCATGGAACGGCAAGAGATCTTGCGGTGTAGTGGTCGTGATGAACATATCTTTGTTTGTACGCCACAAGTCATAAACAAACAGCTTAATTCACCACAGCTATTGGCTTCCTTCTTTCAATAGTACCATGCATGCACAAATTTAACTTCTTTGCCTTTCCAATGTCCCTTAGCCAAATGAACCTCAAATCACTGTACAATATATTTATTCCGTTTCTATTTTTGTAACAGAGAAACCAGTATTATTGTAATTGCCCTTTTAAACTCTATGCCTATAATACAGTCACCAAACCAATCCACCAAACCAACAACACAAGGGCGAGAAAATTTATATACACGCTGAAAACTAGAATTTTTTGGTGAATCCGGACGCTTACTACTCATCAATGGGGCTCCTTGGATAGCGGCCCCTTCTTGCTCTTTGATCTCTTCTTACACGCCGAGCTGACCTTGTGCGATATTTTCGACAACCAATCTCGATAGCAGTATAACGGGGTACGTTGTATTCTGATCCTCCCGACTCGGAGCTAGAATCGTCATCCTGTTATAGCGTGAGATGTTTGAGCCATGAGAGCTATGAAGCTGCACTACTCACATGTTCGTCTTCCATTCTGTGTTGCGGAGTGGCATTTGCTCGGTATAGTTCTACCGCCTCCACTAACAACTTCGTGTGCGGGTGATCTTTTCCAAATACCTGCATGCTCAATCTGAATGCCTCTTCACCATGTAAAAGCGCCTTCTGCGGCACCCCTAGAAGAGAGTAGTTGTTGGCTATTCTGCCTATGAGGCGAACGGTGTCTGGATGCTCTTCCGTTAAAATGCGTCGGTAATCCTCCAGTGTTCTCTCTTCGAACTTCAACGCCCCTTCAATGTCCCCTGCATTCGCCGTGTATGTAGCCATGTCGCATCTCGCTGCTAGAGTGTCTGGATGAGCAGCCCCAAGGATGCTTGTCCGTGCCTGTATAATCTCTTTGGAGATTCTCAAAGCTTCCTCCACATTGCCTAGACATGAGTGGAAGACAGCCAAGTTATCTTTGGAGTTGATGGTTACAAGGTGTTCGGGTCCCAAAGACAGGAT